TTCAAGTATGGACCACGGGGTTCCAAGTATGGACCACGGGGTTCCAAGTATAGGCCACGGGGTTCCAAGTATAGGCCACGGGGTTCCAAGCAGAGACCACGGGGTTCCAAGCAGAGACCCGGGGGGGTTCCAAGCAGAGAACACGGGGTTCCAAGCAGAGAACAGGCTGCAGGCCATTCGAGCAAGATATTCGGGTAGGATGAACCAGAGTGTAAATCATTCAAAGAAAAAGTAAAAGAAAAGTCTGAAGTTATGTCAAATACTCTTATGAAACTGATCAAGAAATTAGTATTATATACTCGTATATTATATATAATAAGTATAAAAATATTCTAATACTTATATTTGTTTGCACAACAAATGTTTTAATATCCAAAGTGCTGTATTCGCAATCTTCACAATAGAGCCACTCGGTTGCTGTTTACTTCACATTGTCTTGATTTATCAGAAACTGACGTATGACATTCTTTTATTATACCTATAAAATTAAAATAGTTTTAAATATTTATGTAATGTAACATATTTTATAAGTAAAGAATTAATGGAAATTAAAACAACAAATTGAACAAGATAATGTATTTATTCAATAATTAGATGAATATATTACAAGTATTCAAGTCATAACCATTGATTGAACGCACAAATGAACTTTGCACTTCCCAATGCAAACACATCAGCATGTAATTATCTTCTCTAGGGACACCATTGAGTTAATGTTGTTTGTGACAGCAAGATAGGTCCAATGCAGACAGGTGTGTGAGCATCCTGATCATTGATCAGTCATTGATTGCCCTGTAAACAAAAGCACCCAATTAATAGTAATTCAGACTACTATAATACATTATAGAGTAACTCACCAAGTGTTTTCTTCAGAGCAGTTTCACTAAGTCTTCCCGAAGTAAACTGCAAAGTGCATAATTTATAAGAATTAGTGTTCGAACTTAAGCATGAAGACATATGCCTATTGGGAGATTTAAATCTGGAACAGAAAGCAGAAGGTTAGAATACATTATGATTACTACTATTATATAAACATAATTATTAATATTATGGGCATTAAAATATGGCTCTAGACAAAACAAGCAAACCGGCGAGGACATTCAATAAGGCATTGGAGGACAAAGACGAAGAGGCAAAGACCCTGGGAATTGGGCAAAGCAACCAAGACGCAGAGGCAAACGTTATGGGCATTAAAATATGGCTTTAGACAAAACAAGCAAACCGGGGAGGACATTCAATAGGCTTTGGAGGACAGAGACGAAGAGGTAAAGACCCTGGGAATTGGACAAAGCAACCAAGACGCGGAGGCAAACATTATGGGCATTAAAATATGGCTCTAGACAAAACAAGCAAACCGGCGAGGACATTCAATAAGGCATTGGAGGACAAAGACGAAGAGGCAAAGACCCTGGGAATTGGGCAAAGCAACCAAGACGCAGAGGCAAACGTTATGGGCATTAAAATATGGCTCTAGACAAAACAAGCAAACCGGGGAGGACATTCAATAGGCTTTGGAGGACAGAGACGAAGAGGCAAAGACCCTGGGAATTGGACAAAGCAACCAAGACGCGGAGGCAAACATTATGGGCATTAAAATATGGCTCTAGACAAAACAAGCAAACCGGGGAGGCAAAAATGCACGGCATTAGATAAGGCATTGGAGGACAAAGACGAGAAGGCAAAAATTTGGCAATTCGACAAAGCAACCAAGACGGGAGGCAAACATAATGGGCAATAAAATAAGGCTCTAGACAAAGTAACCAATATAGAAAGGCAAGTATTCTGAGCATTGTTCAAGGCAACAAAATCGGGGAGGCAAACATCCTGAGCAATCAAAGATGCAATCAAGGCAATCGAGACTTTCTTCACATTGAAGTCCTTGATTGTTTTTTTGCAGGGTCGCATGAACTTATACGCATTCTTGAAGCTTCTACGGGGCATTAATACTTGATCGGTCTCTGACGAAGAAGTCGATGTGGTGGTCGGTGCGTTGATGGTGGAATTGGAAGAATCTGAAAAAAAAAATTCATGTTAGCGATGCAGACATTATTGTTGTCATAGACAGATACATACTGTATTATTAGAGAGAGAAGTCCCAGATGAATAGGTCGATGTGGTGTCTATTCGGTGCGTTGATGGTGGAATTGGAAGAATCTGAAAAAAAAAATTCATGTAGCGATGCAGACATTATTGTTATAGACATACTGTATTATTAGAGAAAGAAGTCCCCGATGAAGAGGTTGATGTGGTGTCTATTCGGTGCGTTGATGGTGGAATTGGAAGAATCTGAAAAAAAAAAAATTCATGTTAGCGATGCAGACATTATTGTTGTCATAGACAGATACATACTGTATTATTAGAGAGAGAAGTCCCAGATGAATAGGTCGATGTGGTGTCTATTCGGTGCGTTGATGGTGGAATTGGAAGAATCTGAAAAAAAAAATTCATGTTAGCGATGCAGACATTATTGTTATAGACATACTGTATTATTAGAGAAAGAAGTCCCCGATGAAGAGGTTGATGTGGTGTCTATTCGGTGCGTTGATGGTGGAATTGGAAGAATCTGAAAAAAAAAATTCATGTTAGCGACGCAGACATTATTGTTGTCATAGACAGATACATACTGTATTATTAGAGAGAGAAGTCCCAGATGAATAGGTCGATGTGGTGTCTATTCGGTGCGTTGATGGTGGAATTGGAAGAATCTGAAAAAAAAAAAATTCATGTTAGCGATGCAGACATTATTGTTATAGACATACTGTATTATTAGAGAAAGAAGTCCGCGATGAAGAGGTTGATGTGGTGTCTATTCGGTGCGTTGATGGTGGAATTGGAAGAATCTGAAAAAAAAAATTCATGTTAGCGACGCAGACATTATTGTTGTCATAGACAGATACATACTGTATTATTAGAGAGAGAAGTCCCAGATGAATAGGTCGATGTGGTGTCTATTCGGTGCGTTGATGGTGGAATTGGAAGAATCTGAAAAAAAAAAATTCATGTTAGCAATGCAGACATTATTGTTGTCATAGACAGATACATACTGTATTATTAGAGAGAGAAGTCCCAGATGAATAGGTCGATGTGGTGTCTATTCGGTGCGTTGATGGTGGAATTGGAAGAATCTGAAAAAAAAAATTCATGTTAGCGATGCAGACATTATTGTTGTCATAGACAGATACATACTGTATTATTAGAGAGAGAAGTCCCAGATGAATAGGTCGATGTGGTGTCTATTCGGTGCGTTGATGGTGGAATTGGAAGAATCTGAAAAAAAAAATTCATGTTAGCGATGCAGACATTATTGTTATAGACATACTGTATTATTAGAGAAAGAAGTCCCCGATGAAGAGGTTGATGTGGTGTCTATTCGGTGCGTTGATGGTGGAATTGGAAGAATCTGAAAAAAAAAAAATTCATGTTAGCGATGCAGACATTATTGTTGTCATAGACAGATACATACTGTATTATTAGAGAGAGAAGTCCCAGATGAATAGGTCGATGTGGTGTCTATTCGGTGCGTTGATGGTGGAATTGGAAGAATCTGAAAAAAAAAATTCATGTTAGCGATGCAGACATTATTGTTATAGACATACTGTATTATTAGAAAGAAGTCCCCGATGAAGAGGTTGATGTGGTGTCTATTCGGTGCGTTGATGGTGGAATTGGAAGAATCTGAAAAAAAAATTCATGTTAGCGACGCAGACATTATTGTTGTCATAGACAGATACATACTGTATTATTAGAGAGAGAAGTCCCAGATGAATAGGTCGATGTGGTGTCTATTCGGTGCGTTGATGGTGGAATTGGAAGAATCTGAAAAAAAAAAATTCATGTTAGCGATGCAGACATTATTGTTATAGACATACTGTATTATTAGAGAAAGAAGTCCGCGATGAAGAGGTTGATGTGGTGTCTATTCGGTGCGTTGATGGTGGAATTGGAAGAATCTGAAAAAAAAAATTCATGTTAGCGACGCAGACATTATTGTTGTCATAGACAGATACATACTGTATTATTAGAGAGAGAAGTCCCAGATGAATAGGTCGATGTGGTGTCTATTCGGTGCGTTGATGGTGGAATTGGAAGAATCTGAAAAAAAAAAATTCATGTTAGCGATGCAGACATTATTGTTGTCATAGACAGATACATACTGTATTATTAGAGAGAGAAGTCCCAGATGAATAGGTCGATGTGGTGTCTATTCGGTGCGTTGATGGTGGAATTGGAAGAATCTGAAAAAAAAAAAAAATTCATGTTAGCGATGCAGACATTATTGTTGTCATAGACAGATACATACTGTATTATTAGAGAGAGAAGTCCCAGATGAATAGGTCGATGTGGTGTCTATTCGGTGCGTTGATGGTGGAATTGGAAAAATCTGAAAAAAAAATTCATGTTATCGATGCAGACATTATTGTTATAGACATACTGTATTATTAGAGAAGAAGTCCCCGATGAATAGGTTGATGTGGTGTCTATTCGGTGCGTTGATGGTGGAATTGGAAGAATCTGAAAAAAAAAATTCATGTTAGCGATGCAGACATTATTGTTGTCATAGACAGATACATACTGTATTATTAGAGAGAGAAGTCCCAGATGAATAGGTCGATGTGGTGTCTATTCGGTGCGTTGATGGTGGAATTGGAAGAATCTGAAAAAAAAAAATTCATGTTAGCGATGCAGACATTATTGTTATAGACATACTGTATTATTAGAGAAAGAAGTCGATGTGGTGTCTATTCGCTGCGTTGATGGTGGAATTGGAAGAATCTGAAAAAAAAAAATTCATGTTAGCGACGCAGACATTATTGTTGTCATAGACAGATACATACTGTATTATTAGAGAGAGAAGTCCCAGATGAAGAGGTCGATGTGGTGTCTATTCGGTGCGTTGATGGTGGAATTGGAAGAATCTGAAAAAAAAAAATTCATGTTAGCGATGCAGACATTATTGTTGTCATAGACAGATACATACTGTATTATTAGAGAGAGAAGTCCCAGATAAATAGGTCGATGTGGTGTCTATTCGGTGCGTTGATGGTGGAATTGGAAGAATCTGAAAAAAAAAAAATTCATGTTAGCGATGCAGACATTATTGTTCATAGACAGATACATACTGTATTATTAGAGAGAGAAGTCCCAGATAAATAGGTCGATGTGGTGTCTATTCGGTGCGTTGATGGTGGAATTGGAAGAATCTGAAAAAAAAAAAATTCATGTTAGCGACGCAGACATTATTGTTGTCATAGACAGATACATACTGTATTATTAGAGAGAGAAGTCCCAGATAAATAGGTCGATGTGGTGTCTATTCGGTGCGTTGATGGTGGAATTGGAAGAATCTGAAAAAAAAAAAATTCATGTTAGCGATGCAGACATTATTGTTGTCATAGACAGATACATACTGTATTATTAGAGAGAGAAGTCCCAGATGAATAGGTCGATGTGGTGTCTATTCGGTGCGTTGATGGTGGAATTGGAAGAATCTGAAAAAAAAAAAATTCATGTTAGCGATGCAGACATTATTGTTGTCATAGACAGATACATACTGTATTATTAGAGAGAGAAGTCCCAGATGAATAGGTCGATGTGGTGTCTATTCGGTGCGTTGATGGTGGAATTGAAAGAATCTGAAAAAAAAGAGATATTAGAAATGAAGGCATTGCTATTGTTATATAGAAAGATACATACCCAATTATTAGTGAAAGACAGGTCCCTGATGAGGCATTCCGGGCAGTGCACAACGCAAACATTCTGTGTATTACACACGGTATCGAAGAGGTGGAGGCAAACACTTAAGGCATGGGACATGGCAACCAAGAGGGGGAAGCAAACATTCTGGGCATTGGACAAGGCAACAGAGACGAAGAGGCAGAGACCTTTGGATTCATATAAGGCTCATGACAATTCAACCAAGACGGTAAGACAAACAATCTGGGCATTGGACAAGGTAACTAAGCGAGAGGAAGTAAACAATCTAGGCATCGAACAAGGCAAACATTCTGGGTATTCGACACGGCAATCAAGAGGGGGTCAAACATTCTGGGCATTGTACAACGCAATAGAGACGGAGAGGCAAGAACCTTAGAATTCAAATAGGGCAACCAAAACGGTAAGGCATTTGACAAGGTAACCAAGCAGGGAGAAGCAAACAATCTAGCAATTGGACACAGCAAACATTCTGGGTATTGGACACGGCAACCAAGAGGGAGAGGCAAACATTCTGGGCAATCAAAAACAGGATGACAACAAAGCAAGACGTAGCAAAATTTATATTAAACTCATTCAAATAAGGAGGAATTATTAATTCATTCATGAGCAAGACATTCAAACCTGAGGCTTTTTCGTACTGTCTGTCTCCACTGTCTTCAAAATTCACATTAATGTCAGTCACTTCACTTTGTCTTGCACAGTTGGATGAATTTCTACACAGATTATTTATATAAATGAGTTTTCAAGTCGATCCTGAAGCTTCTCCGGGACATTAACAGTTGAATTTTAAAGATCTGAAAAAAAGAAACGTGTTAGTAATTCAAGCATTATTACTTTTACATAGACAGACGCAAATGATATCTTTCAAAATCTGTTGAATATTAAAAAAATAATAACATTGCACAATTTGCAATTTGTTGCACAATGCAACAATAATGGTTAGGAACTGGCACTGGTAATAATAGCTGAATAACAGCTTTCATTTATCACAAATTTCATTTTCAATTTATTGATTTGTTGAAAGATAAACTAAAAACTAGAAGAATTAAACGCGTCAAAATTCCTAAAAATATTTTCGCGCCGAATGTCACTTGTTCAACGCATGTTGCTTTCGGCGTCAAAATCACTAAGCTGTTGCACACTATTCAATTAACATACACAACAAAAATCACAATAACACTGCCGTGAAATATTAAAATACAATCATTTACCGATGAATTTTCCGCTTCAGCATCTTTATCTTCTTTTCCGATGATCACTCTATGACGGCCGGCAAGAGAAAGGACAGATTCCATGTTGCCGCTCCAGTGGTGCGGCTGCAGCGCCATCCATCTGCGCGTCACATGAAACAGACTGTTGACAGTTAGTTCGTCGGTCAATGACAGCCGAGCGGTGCCGGTGGCGGCGGCGGCAAAATCAAACTGAATTTAACAAATTATTAAATTCAAAATGACCTGCAAAAATATTTATCAGAATTACGCAGTATGAATATGCAATCAGTTAACTTGTATTGACAAATATATTCGTCAAGGAGAGGTATATTTGAATTTAACAAAAAAAAAAAAACAAAAGGACAAATTCTCAATATTTCATATTCAACGAAAATTTAACAGATTATTAACAACCCGACATAAAACTTTGTTACTTCATCACACCTTTCATGTATTTCAATTGAATTGTATTTAATTTGTATCTGTACTGTCCGTCGTCTAGAAAATGTTGTCAATGCCTTGAAAATATTGTAAATTGTTGAAAGGTTGTCTAAAAATGTTGTAAATAGTTCAAAAATATTGTAGGCTTCTGAAAATATTTCAAATCAGCTTGAAAATGTTGTAGGTTGTCTGAAAATGTCGTAAATAGTTCAAAAAAATTGTAGGCTATCTGAAAATGTTTTATATCAACTTGAAAATGTTGTAAATAGTCCAAAAATGTTGTAGGTTGTTTGAAAATGTTGTGAATGGTTGAAAAATGTTGTAGGTTGCCTGAAAATGTTTTAAATAAGCTTGAAAATATGGGAAAATCGTCTTAAAAATGTTGTAAATAGTTCAAAAATGTTGTAGGTTGTTTGAAACTGCTTTAAATCGTCTTGAAAATGTTGTAAATAGTTCAAAAATGTAGGTTATCTGAAACTGCTTTAAATCGTCTTGAAAATATTATAGGTTGTCTGAAAATGTTTCAAATCCTCTTGAAAATGTTGTCAAATATCTCGACATTTATTGATCAACAGAATTCTGTGCCTCGATCAAATTGTGTATCAATTACCATCAATGTCTCCTCAGTTGCATTATGTATGAACTATCTTTTAAAATAATTTCATAAACATCATTAGAAATCTTGAATTCTTTAGTACGTTTTTAAAGTTAAGTCCAGTATATATATATATATATATATATATATATATATATATATATATTGTATATAATAGTCACAACATTCGAATAATAAAAAAAAACTATAATAATATAGAGCATGTAATAATTTATATATGTATAAAATAATTAGTTAACAATCTTCACCAGGACGAAAGAGGAGCAGAATTTTTTATCATGTATGTATAAATTTCCTGACCACCCTTAAATCAAATCGAGATAGACATTATTATTGAAGACTCATAGACTACATAAAAAAAATATTTTCAACTATCAACTAGCTTATATATATATACAGGCCTGGTCCTGCCTTGCATGCGATGCATGCAAAAAATGCGGGCGCGCGCCTTAGGGGGCGCCAAAACGAGTTTTGGAAAATAAATTGATAATATATTATTTATAGTTTTTATTTATATAAAATCTAGAATACTTAATAAATTATAATAAACGATCTAACTTAACTAGGGTTATGGAGACACAAAAAGCATATTTATTTTGCAATGTGATATCAGTAGAAACAATTAACCGATTAATAACTCTGCAAATTAGTAAATAACAGCTCTGTTTATTGCTTAATCTACTTATTCAATTTTTTCTTTGTTCGAAGTTGCCGTGAAATCGAAAAGAAAATTATCTAGTGTTCAATCCCATAAGCGCAAATCTGCGAAAGGTTGAATTTATTATTAAGCATTATTGACGAAAAATTGCATGCTGATTTAGTTTAACCAAATTATAATCGGAAAAATGAAAAATGGGGACTTAGTGCTTAGAAAATGGCATGTTTATTCCGAAAAAATGAATTTCAACTTTTGTTTTTGTTGCAAATGTTTCGCATCTGATAAACTTTGAATGTTGAAGACATGCGTGGTTAGGGTTATGGAAATGTAACAAATATGAAAAA